CTCAATAATGTGTGTAGCTTAAGGAGAGTCGAGCCTCCGACAACTACCATTCAGCCAGCACTTGCATCAGTAGAAGTTTACCAGGTGGGGGTCACGTACTGGTTCTACATCATCTTTAATTTTCGTACCATGTCCGAGGTACGTACGTGAAAAGTTATATCGCTAAGGGTAGAGGTTGAACGGGCCTTAATGTTCCATCCTAGGCCTAGTTAAATCACCCAGGGTGGAGGCACTAACGTGCCTTAATGAGCCATCCTAGGTCCAGTTATATCGCCAGGATGGAGGCACTAACGTTCCTTAATGTGCCATCTTGTGCCCAGTTATATCGCCTACGGGTGGAGGCCAAGCTTGGCCTTAATGTCCCATCCTAGGTTCTGGTGGAGGCCAAGATGGGCCTTAATGACCCATCAGAGTGTGCACATGATTTAGCGACCTTATGTCGAGTGGCTTTCAGCCGAGTTCAGTCGAGTCCAACTCAGTTAAGTTCAGTTAAGTTCAGTTAAGTCCAGTTAAGCTCAGTTAAGTTCAATTAAGCTCAGTTAAGTTCAATAAAGTTCAGTTCAGTTCAGTTTAGTTCAGTTACTTACATGCTTAAGTCATGATATTGAAATTAACGATGATGTTTAATTAAGTACTGGTCTTTGCGGAGCATAGTGGTTTTGCTCACGCCCCCATTACGTTTTTCAGGTGACGGATCGGCGAGTGGCGCGTGAGCATCAGTGGCGCGTGGTCATTTCTTTTGTAACGCTTTACATGTCATTTATTGAACATGTATTATTACTATTAGTATGCGTGCATTTAGTATTACACCTTCTGCATATTCAGACATATTATGTAATATGAGATATTTCAGACTTATGCATGTTTAATGCCTTTATCTCCGTGGTACCTTTATATAATGGATTTGATTAGATTGCATGTATTTATTTACGTCTGCATGAGAAAGAGTTTAAGTTAGTAGCATCCCGTGAGTTAGTTATGAGTATTTGCTTTTAATAAAGTTATAGAGTTTTTTGAAAATAAAAAGCAAAAATTTTACTCTGATTTTTATAAATTCTAAAATAATTAGGCGGGGTGTTACAAGATTTATATCCAACAATGCTTTGATTTTCTCAGGGTTCGTCTTGATTCCTCGTTGGGTAACCATATATCCAAGAAACTTTCCCGAGGTCACCCCAAAAGCGACTTGTTGGGGTTGAGCTTCATCTTGTAATGCTTCAATGTTGCGAAGGTATCCTCCAAGTCAGCTATGATGTCCTCCGCACGTGGGCTCTTTGCTAGCATGTCATCAACGTACACTTTAATGTTTCTACCAACCTGATTTTTAAAGATCTTGTTCACTAGCCTCTGGTATGTAGCCCCCGCGTTCTTTAGACCGAAGGGCATGACCTTGTAGCAATATAGGCCTCGGTCAGTGACAAAAGAAGTTTTGGGTTCATCTTCTGGGTGCATCCTTATCTGATGGTACCCCTGAAATGCATCCATGAAGCTAAGGATTTCACATCCGGCGGTGGCGTCTACCAGTTGGTCTATCCTCGATAGGGGAAAGCTGTCTTTGGGACACGTCTTGTTTAGACTTGTAAAGTCTATGCACATCCTCCAATTGCCACTTGTTTTTCGAACCAAGACAACGTTGGACAACCAATCAGGATAATCTACCTCCCTTATGTAATCAGCATCTAAGAGTTTGTCCACCTCTCCGTTGATTTCTTGGATCCTATCTGGGCAAAACTCCTTTTCTCCAGTTGAACTGGATTAAGGCTAGGGTCCACATTTAGTCTGTGGACTATGACCTCAGGGTCAATTCCCGGCATGTCAGATGGACTCCAAGCAAAGACTTCAGCATTTTCTCTCAAGAATTAGACAAGATTTGCCTTAAGGTCCTCGGGCATTGAGGACCCTATTCACACAACCTTATCAATGTCCCCTTCATACAACTCCATTGAGACTAAGGTCTCTATTGGCTCTCAAGTTTTCTTAACCTCGTCCTCTAGATCTAAGCTCTCTATGGTCAGAGCCTCCATGTTCTTTCTTTTACCTTTGAGTGAGGCCACATAACATTGTCTGGCTACCTCTTGGCCTCCACAAACTTTTCCGATGCCATTCTCGGTCGGAAACTTCATAAGCATGTGATATGTAGAGACTATGGCCTTCATCTTGTTTAACCCTGATCGTCCAAGGATGACATTGTAACTGGAGGGGACCTTCACAACTAAGAAATCCATCATGACCGTGGTCTGCTGGGGTGTGTCCCCTGCAGTTAAGTGGAGAGTTATAATTCCCTCCGGCTCCACGGTTTCACCTGTGAACCCCATGAGTGGAGTTTTGACTAGCCATAGTTGTTCACGACCAATTTTCATCTTCTCAAATGCGTCATAGAATATGATATCAGCCGATCTGCCACTATCCACAAACACCCTTTTGACCTCGTAATTCCCAATCTAAGTGTAACGACCATGGGATCATCATGAGGAGTTAGAATGTTACCAGTGTCTTCCTCTGTAAAGGTTATTTGTGTCTCCCTACGAGCCATTTTCTCTTGCGGCTCACTTGTTCGAGGTTGCCTTGCATATGATATGCAAGCAGAATTACATTCTCCGCCGGATGGTCTTCCGGCGATGACAACTATGACCCCAGCAACTTGAGTGTTGTCCCTACTCGGACTTCGGGCCCTAGGATTATCTCTCATAGGACTACGACTTCGATCTTCTGAGTGTCTTCGTCGAGGTTGAGGGCTGCTTCTGTCTTTTCCCACAAATTTCTTAAGGTATCCTCTGCGTATCAAGTCCTCAATCTTGTTTTTCAGGGTCTCACAGTCCTCGGTATTGTGACCGTGGTCTCTATGAAAACGACAATACTTAACCCGACTTCTTTTGTTTGCCGGGGTTTTCATCTTGGTTGGCCACCTGGCATAGTCTTTATCTCTAATATACATCAAGATTTCATTCTTTGTAGCACGCAAATGAGTATACCTTTCAAACCTCGGGAGATTGGACCGATCCTTCGATGAGTTGGTCGTGATAGACAGTCTATCCCACACTTTTTTCCTCTTTCCGCCATTATCGTCACCAGAGTCCCTCATCCTCTTTCTGTCAGAGGTCTCACACTCATCCTCTGTTCTAGTCATCTCCTCAGCGTTGATGTACTTTTCGTCCCTACTGAAGAGTTCAGGGAGGGATAGCGGTGGTTTTTTCGCCAAAGAGAAAGCAAACCTTGAGGACTTTCGAACCTCATTCATGAGTGCGGCTAAGGCCACAGACTGGTCCAAAAATCCTCAGTCTCTAGTGTCTCTACATTAAAAAGTTGGATGAACTCCCTTAGCGTCTCATTCGATCTCTGACGAACGCCCATAAGATGGGCTGACGCTTTCTTGTACCGTTTGCTGCTAACAAAGTGGTTGAGGAATTCTTGTGCCAATTGTTTGAAAGTATAGATAGAGGCCACTGACAGTGAAGAGAGCCAAGCCCTGGCGCTCTTTCTTAGCGTGGCCGAGAACGCTCGACACATGATGGCGCCGGTCTCCCCGTGAAGCATCATGAGAGCTTGGAAATTTTCAAAGTGGTCACGGGGGTCCGATGTTCCATCATATTTCTCCATCTGAGGCATCTTGAAGCTAGAGGTAATTTCCTCTTTAATGATGCTATCAACAAAAGGGGACTCGGTGGGTGAGAAAATGTCCGACGTCGGCTTTCTGACTTCTTTCTGCACCACTCTGAGCATTTCATTCATCTCCTCAAGCTTTTGCTTAAGGTTGCCATCCTCAGGTGTGAAATTTCTTCTCCCGAGGTCTCTTTTGGATCTGACCTCGGTTTCATCGTTGGGGGCTTTAGAACCTTCGCCATGGCTGGCTTCTCGATCCTTTCGACCTAAGGATGCTTCTTTTTCCATCATACCCTTCATCTGGGTCTTTAGTTCAAGAAGTTCTTTTTCGACCCTTTGCAGTCGTTTGGCCTCGGTCTCCGAGGTCGCCGAATTTTGCGAACTTTGGCCTTGGCTAGGGTTAGTCTAAGAGTTTGATTCATTTTTTTGGGATTGATCATGTCGTGAAACACCTCGCGTCCCTCGACTAGTTACACCTCTCTTCCGTATCGCCATGAATCCTCTTCCTAAGTCGTCAGGTCCCATAGACGACGCCAATTGATGATACAAGAATTATCTGACGTTAGTCAGAGGACACGTGGCGACGATTGATGCTCCGACGTCTTCCTGAACTCGTCTCCCTTGCTCCGACGCCTAAAAAACAAAACGCCGGGTTGTCCCCAGGGGTAGACCCTCCGATGCTTAAGTTAGAATCGGTTTTAGGTTTTCTGAGGTGATGGCTGCGGAATGAGTAGAAGAGAGAGTTTGGAGTAGTGAGAATATCCCTTACCTTGACCTAGGTCGTCCTTTTATAGGAGTCAGACGACCTAGGTCTCCCTTCTACAGGCGGAGGGCTCCCCGACCCATAAGCTTCGTGGGCTGACCCCAAACCTTGGGCCCAAAGTAAAGCTCCTCTGGACCTTGGGCCTACAGTAACTCTCTTCAGGACGTTGGGCCCAGAGAAAAACTCTTTGGGACCTTGGGCCTGAATTGAGTTTGGACTTCGACTTTAATCTTGGACTCTAACGGTTATCGAATCACACGTGTCTTTATTCTCTCAAGCCACGTGTCATATAATAAAAGTATATTTTTTCCCTTATCAGAATGAATTTTCCTTTTCTTTTTTCATTTTGTTTGCTGTATTCGGTTGGACTTGTGTTGACCTTTGTATACGTTGTCTCTTTTAGAGGTTTGATTATATACAGATTGGGGATCCTACCTTAATCACCCACCAACTTCGGGGTGTTTCTCTTATAATGGGCCTTTTCAAATATATTGTATGTAATGGGCTTTGACCCAACCCATCAGGCACAATTTTATTGCCGTACCCCCTATTTAGAGTTGAAGATTCCAAGTTTCCAGTCGCACCAGCGAGAGACGAGCCGAGGAGAGGAGAGAACGACTGAGAGAGAAGAGGAGCGATGGCAGACGAGGACTACGAGATGGACGGAGGGTTCGTACGAAGTCCCACCTCCCTATGAACTCATCGCTCATTATCCCAATCTACTTACCCTAATTTAACCTAACAGATATTGTTGCTTTTCGTTTTTTAAGAAAAGATAACTAGGGTTTTATTGTACAATAATTAACAAGAAAACCTTGATTCCATGCAGGTACGAGGATGAGCCCATGGATCCCGAGCCTGATGTTAGTGTGCTTCTTATCTTTTTAATTCGAATTATTCATTTGTACCGTCAAGCTTTGTTGTTATGGTGTATGATTTGGGTGCGCTCGGTAATTAACAGGAAGGGGCGGAACTGGAAGAAGAAAACAACGAGGATGCTCCAGATCCTATTGAAGGCGAGGGTGAAGATAAGGAGGACCAAGAGCCGGTCGAACGCCCTCGGAAAACCTCCAAATACATGACCAAGTACGAGCGCGCCCGGATATTGGGCACGAGGGCACTGCAGATTAGGTCTGTTTTTTAAGTAATTTATTAATTTTAACTTTTGTGGTGTGTGTGTGTGTGTGTGTGTTTAGCTTGAGATGTGATTTTAGTGACTTTGGGGAGGGTTTTGTATTGACAGCATGAATGCACCCGTGATGGTTGAGTTGGAGGGTGAAACAGACCCATTGGAGGTGAAGTATTATGGATCTTCCTTTCGAAAGTCAGCATTTTGTTTGTACTTTAATTGCATATTATGGTTTTATTGGAGGTACTTGGGTTTAGGTGTTTGTGTTAATTTGCTAGAACAGAACAGCGTTGGTTTATTATTGAGTTATGTATGGTTAAGTTGCCTGTGGACTGTCTGGATCTTTTCTTAGGTAGTTAAGCTTGTGTACTTGTTGTTATTCCCTTTTGAATATCTTATCTCAATAGATCCACAAGTTATATTTTGCAATAATAGAATTGAAATGTGGACTAGTAACTTTAGAGTGCGAGTTTCTCCTGTTAGTCGGTGTGCTGAAATCTATTGAAGACATTGTTGTTTATTTTACGTATGAGCACTATGGTTTTTCCCGAACTCCGATTTTCTGAATTTTCGGAGTACTGACTTGCAGCATATGTTTGAAAATATTTGTGTTTCACAAAAACCACTCAACTATGTTAATCTTAGAACTGCTGTAACTGAGATGTGGCTATTGGTGGCATAAGCTTATTGGCCTGCTTACCTAAGCACTAGTGATTTGTTTTTTAAACATTTTATATATAAGTTCAATTAAGAGTGCTAAATAGCTGTGCAATGGGGATGTACTTGGACCAACCAGCTCAATTATATGCATAATAGGTTATCCCTGAACCAAGCTTGTGCTAATTTTTGTAAGGTTAGGATTTTTATTTCCCCCCCCCTGATACCCATCAGTTTCAAAGTCCAAAACTGAATACTCAAGTCTTTGCACTTGTGAAGTTCTTATTTGTCTTGCATATTTGTAAAATTTGCGTGCCTAATGATTTTTGGTACTTTTGGCCACTAGTTTTGTTTTTGTTTCTGTTTACAGGAAAGTTGCTATCTTTTATGATGATTGTGTCTTGCATTGTGAAAATGAAAGTTGTATTGTAATTCATATCTGTCATGCAGCCTCGAATTTGTATGAGATTGGTGGGATAATCTATACTGTATATTTGTCTTTCTTGAAGAAGCTATGCACATGGTAATCTGGATTTTTTTCTAAATATATCTTATCTGCTTTTATTTTTCCTTTCAGATTGCAATGAAGGAATTGCGAGAGCGAAAAATACCCTTCACTATTCGTCGTTACCTTCCTGATGGAAGGTGAGATCTTTCGGCTTTGAGGGAACTCTGTTCTCTTGGTGGTTTCTATATGTTTCTTAACGTTATGATATTTTATGCTATAAATTGACAGCTATGAGGACTGGGGCGTGGATGAATTGATCGTGGAGGACTCGTGGAAAAGGCAAGTTGGAGGAGATTGAGCTGGCGTCTATTATGATTATCTTGTCTAACTTCAAACCGTAGTAATATGATTTAAGCTTATAGACGAGACAAATTGGAATCTGAAGACATTCCTTTCTGGACTTGTTTGGTTGTACGAGGATTGGTGTTAAATTAGGAGATTGAATCTCATTAAGAAGATTGAACCGATAAATTTGCTTATTTGCTTTTTCGGCGCAGAGATTTGAGTAGCTTTTTTAGCTCAAAGTGGAAATTTTGAAGAACAATAGATGAGTGTTTAGGTAAAGAATATTCATTAAAAAAACATCACAGCCTGAGTTTTCCAGAACAATTATACAAACTGTTGTTTAAACTGCAAAAAATTGTTTTATACTAAAAGGTTACCAATTATTAATACAATCAACTACGTCAAATTATTTGTTACAAATACTTTCAGCTCCCTATTTAATTAGCTAGTCAAATTAGTTATTACAAAATACTTATCTTCGAGCCTGGTGTTGATTGCTGGGAAAAATTGCAGAGAAGGGTGGGGCACGATGGCCGACGAGGCGTGGTGGAGCTCATGTTTTTATTTGCAGAAAGCACGAAAAAAGAAAGAGATAAGGAAAGAATTTTCTCAAAGGTAGAAACTAGAATGATTCGGCAAAATGACATATCTATAGGTGGAGAAACTCGTAGGTCGATCGACCTTGGCCGTTAAATCAAGGTCAAAACCAACTATTAGAATCAAACAAAAAAGTTGAAAGGTGGTTGAGTAGAGCTTTTGGATTGTGGTCGAAATCACGGTCGGATCAAAAGAGGCAAAGTTGAAAAAACAAATCGAGCAGAGCCGTTGGATCATGGTCGAGATCCACGGTCAAGATTAAATAGGCGAGTCGAAAAGACAATAGGTTCATAACCGTCAGATTAAAGGTAGATCAAAGGGTCGCCATTAAGAAGAACTTAATGGGTACTTTGTATGCGAATCACAGAATGGCTACTTCGAAAAGACGTTATGGTTGATTGAATCTAACAAGAGGCGGAGATCTGAATTTCAAAATTTGAATTCAAGACCACAAGGGGAGTTCAAATATATTGTTTTAGAACTGAAGGAAGTGCAAGGAGCTCGGTCGCAAAAGTAAAAGTTGTAACTCACCAAGCAAAGTTAAAAACAAAAATTTACTCTTAGATCGAGTCATCTTAACTCAACCAGAGTGGGGGGACCAGATGATATGTGATACCACAATAGGTAGAAAACCCAAGAAACCGGTTGGCCAGGCTAGGCGAACCAGTTGGTCGAATAGAAGCATAGGTAGGCTAAATGGATGTCGAACGTGGCTACAGATCAATGAGTCCTCAGGTCGAGGAGGATGTTGCAGGTTTAAAGAGGCACCAACAAGTCGAGTTAGGGTCGTTTGATGGCCTGAATTACACTCGACCTGAAGGCGTAACTGGTCGATAGATCGACCGAATGGACTGAACACGCGAGCTCAACCTGAAGCTCACAGTGCTTTATGTTCACTGTTTATCGTCTTCATACACATTCTGACTTCAGCATTAGAGACTCTGTTGGGATCTATGAGGTCGCCTTGTGCAAGTCACGAAGTAATCTATGAATAAACCTACGTGCAACAGATCCAAAATTTAACGTAGAAAACTTACGTCTTAAAATCACAAACTCTGAGACACAGTAGATTTGGCTGATGTAGATCAATAGATTCCACTCTCCAGAAAAATTGCCTATTGCGATGCTCGGAGTCGTCGGGAGTTCGCGCGGATCGAACATGATCGGATTGGGTCTCACAGATGCAGGCGTGCACCTGTCAGGGCTCTCGACTAGCGCGCTCATCTCGTTGGGTCGCGTGTGTGCTGGTCGGGGCATGTCGTGGGACGCTGGCGTGCGTCTGCGGGTTGTGCGTTGTCTGGGGCTGCCGCGGTTGGGCACGGCTGATGCCTGGTCCTGCCTCGGGCTAGGCTCGATCCCTTCATGGTGGCACGGTGCTTGGGTGCTCGGTAGAGCCGGCCCTGGGGCAGGGCCAGCGGGGCGGCCGCCCAGGGTCCGAAAATTTTAAGGGCACAAATTATTAGAAAATTTTAAAGGAAAAAAAAAATAGTATAACTGGTTATTAAAATGAGTTAATTTTTTTTTCCTTCATTCTCACATAACTAAATATAGTGAAGTTCTAATGATGAAATTAATTTATAATAGTTGATAATTAACTTAAATATTTTTTATATATATTTTGTTCTCTCATTTTGTAATTCAATTGATAAAAATATGTTTTAACCTCTTACTTGAATATGCAAATTTTATTTGTGTGCATATAATTCAATCATATAAGTGATAGTCATTATAGGGCATCGAGTTACCCATTATAAATGTGAGTTTCATTTTGTTGTTATTTGGTTATTATATATATTAAAAATAATATTAGTATTTTTGCAACAAAAGAGTTGACTATTCGAGATAACAACAAAATTAAACATGTGGTTAATGTGAAATAGAGTTTAAAACAATATTTATATTTTGTCGTCTTTTTTCTTATACAAGAACTGAACATGATTTATTCCTTTACTTATTGTCAATTTTTTTTAATAAAATTTTACAATTTTTTATAATCTTCATTATCTGTTTTTTTGTAATATGTTTGTTTATGATTTTTTTTTTCTAATAAAAACAATATGGGCACTATATATTCAACTGGCCCAAAGCCTATAATTTTTCAGGACCGACTCTGGTGCTCGGGCACATGGTTCTTGGGTGCTCCACTACCAAAAGATCTTCTATGTAATCCTAACACCACTAGAACTCCTTTGGTGAGAAGGAGAATCTAGATCTCTCTTAAAGTACTAAGAATCTTGTGTATATGGTGTCTTCCAAACAATAAGAGAGGGGTGTATTTGTCGGCCACAATAGGGACTCTAAGAAGGTGTTAGAATGGGCTCCCCATATATGTACCCAGCTGTGGGTCAAGCTCACTCCGCTCATATATGAAAAATATAGTCATTACACTAAAGTAATATTATTGAAACTCTAAATTTAACTCCTAAATTATAATTTGAGTTTCGATTCATAATTACTCAAATTATCTCTCCATGTTTAAGATATAAAGTTCATCAATCAATTCGATTACTGAATCAATTAATTGATCTCTTATGCCGAAGAGAGCACTAATCAAATCGTTATTATTATGTTAGAACTTAATCCACTTGCAGGGCTTAACATAATAATCTTTCTGAGCTGACTTCAGAGTCATCATCATACTGAAGCACATGGTGATCGTAGATATTTTAACAACACATTATGCACGTAGCATTACTACCCAATTCAATCGGTTATTGGCCAAACAGAATGAACCTCACCGAGATGAATCAAAGTAGTAACAACGCAGTAACTAGCTGAGACCTAGTTCGTTTACGACGATCAATATAATAAAAATTGCTTCTCTCTGGGTCCATTCAATAGACAAATGTACTAATGCAACTAATCAGTCAAGACCAACTGTATCGTTTCCTCTACAACCATTACGATAGCTTGTTCAGTTTTCATCAGGGTTGTGAACAATTTCTTTATATTTTGCAACTTACTGATAAATGATCTTATTTCCATCCACGATGAACGATGTATTTAAGTGCAATACAACAGGACATAGAATTTATTTAATCAAACATGAATTTTCATTCAACAAAAATAGTGTAAATAACAGTTAAAGCCAAGCTTTCAGTGTATACACTAACAAACTCAAAGCCATGAATATATATCACAATTACTGTGTTGAAATGATTTGTAGAGATTGATTTATATCTATCGGGGTTAGTGCTTGAAGCATTAGAAATATTTACGTTTAACAATTGCTAGAATAAAAACAATTTGCTAAGATATGATTGTTTTGGTATTAAATCAAAAGTACGTTAAATAATAAAATATAATGTATTTGTTTTCAAATAATCAACTCTGATAATTGGTTTGATATTGTATCTCTTAATAAAATATAGCACATTTTTTTTTTAATTTGAATCAATAGTATACATCACAAACAGTTGGTTGAGATCATGATTTGCAAAGATTGGTTTGTATATGTCGAGATTGGTGTACAAAGAATGTGTTATATTTATGTTTAAGAATTGTTGACATTGTGTGGAACCGATGACTTGTAAATAAAAAAATCACACTGAAAAAAAAATATCACACTTACGTCCTAAAATCACTATGAAAAGAATAAAAATATCACAATTTATGTTCATATATATGTAAAAAAAATAGTGTTTTAAACCGAGTTTACCGTGCGTAAATATTTTATATGACAATGAATACTTTTTTTTACCCAATTTATTGTTTACATATTTTTTTATTCAAACAAAATCCTAAAAAAATAAAAATAAAACTCTTTATTAGTTAAAAAGAATATATTTTTTTTTTTTTTTTGTATAATATCACCCGTGAATAGTTAAGTGATATTGTATGAATTCAGAAAAGTTCACACATGCCACGTGAATTAATTTTAATTGATCAATTGTTGAGATCTATTAGGAACTGAGTTTGAAATAACTGAAAAACAGGAAAAAAAATTGAAATCGCTGAAAACAAAATAAAATATTAAATGGCATGTAAGTTTTGTATTTACCATAATTAGAAAGCTGAAAAGAAATTAATTTAGATTTTTATTATTATATTTAGTAAATAGATAAACATGTTATACAGTAATAGAATATATAAATTTCATAGCTTAGTATTTACTTATAATAAATGATCGATATATCATATTCCTTTTCTTATACATCTTTTTTCGTTCAATTTTACTTTGATGTACAAAATTATATTCAATAAAAATTTATCTAATCAATGGAGCCCAGCAAACAGGCAACACCGCTCCCACCAATTGAAAATGATCCACCGAATAATTTGTACGAGCAAAGTTTATAGGGAAATTTACATATAGACTCCCTATAAGAGATATTTACATATCTACATTCTATATAAACTTTCATCAACATGGGGTTTGGATGAGCTGTTTTTTATTTATAGGGAAATTTACATATA